TACTGGTAGCTCCTGGCATGACTACTAGTAGCAAGAAGCTACTAGTAACAAGGTGCCTGCCCTCCCGCGAAATCCCACTTTTTCTCCGCAACGAGAGAGGAGGCACCTCAGCTTTGTGTTCTTGGGACAATGTACCATTCTGGGGAGGAGTTGAAGGAATGCGGTGGGGCTCCTGGCCTTACTACTAGGAGCAAGGACGCTACTAGGAGCAAAGGGCCTCGCTACTAGGAACAAGGACGCTACTAGGGGCTCCTGGCCTTACTACTAGGAGCAAGGACTCTACGAACGGAGCAAAGGGCCTCGCTACTAGCAACAAGGACGCTACTAGGGGCTCCTGGCCTTACTACTAGGAGCAAGGACTCTACGAACGGAGCAAAGGGCCTCGCTTCGAGGTCCAGGCACCATTGGTTCGCTCGATCTCAGGCCGAGGCCATGGCCGCCATGGCCACACCCATTCCCTCACCAAGGCGATTCTGCGGTCTGTGCAGATGAGCTGGAGATGAGCGGTCTGAGTGGTCTGAGGTCATAGAAAGTCAGAGCACCATGGTGATGTCGAGGGCTTTTGGGTCAGCTTTGACTCACATAGGTTAAAAGGCACGGGTGATCATGTACTGCTTTGCTTTGGCTTCTTGGTCTAAAGTCTCGCAGTGGGTGGTTGCATCATTTCTGGTCTTGGATCTGGACCTGTGAACTTCATTGCAGATCTGCAAATCAGTGGGCCGCAGACAATGGCTCCTCTTTTGCATTTCTCTTTATACACAGCTTTGCTGCAACTTGTGTTTGAGGTGCAAGTCAGTTTGAACAAAGGCTGCTAGCGTTTGATGTTCACGTTCGTTCAGATGTTCACGAAGCTGGCGTGCGAAACAGGGGGGAAGTGAGCCACACAAACTCTTCCATTCGGCGCTTGAGCTGTGCTGCCGCAGGGAGACTTCAGGTTCGCGGCAGGAGACATCGGTGGTTTTGGTCGGACGAATCATCCGCGGTCAGTGAGAAACCGTCCCGGATGGACTGCGAGGATTTCCTAAAAAAAACTGCGTGGATGTGGGTCCAAATCTAGGAGCCCCAAGCAGGAACCGTTGGCATCGCTGGTGGTTCTTTTTGTTCATTTTGGGGTGGGTCAACGAAGTCGTTGTGTCGCACCTTTTCACTCGAGGTCAGCACTTTGGACAGATCTGATCCTACAGAATGACCCTAACAAAGGAGATGCGCCCCTTTGCCACAAGCCACTGGACCCAGACGGAAGAGACTTCTTGCCGACCGCCCGGCCCCGGTCGTGGTGACCCGTGCCTGAAAACAACTTGATCTCGCTTCGTAGGTGATGCCTCCACCGTGAAGCATCGTTTGCAGTTCACACGTTCCTCACACCCTGACCACACACGGCGCCCAGCACCTATTGTCAGAGGGTTCTGCGCAAAGCGCAACGTTTCACAGATGCCGAGCGCCTTGATGCCAAGGACGAAATGCAGCGTTCTTTGCGGACGCAATTTCCCCACACGATGCAGAGCGCAAGGAAAATGCAACACATATGTGAACGCCCCCAGGAGGCGACACAAGGATCCGAAGGCCCAGACAGGTTTTGATTGATGTCTCACGTTCTCTCAGCTTGGCAGAATGACATCTAGAGTATCTAGAGTCCTAGACACGGAAGTTTCAACCTGTTGGAATCATCCTTCTCACCATAAAAGGCTTAGGCTTAGGCCCAAAAGGTCGGCCACAGACGGCGTTGATCTCGGTGAAACACCTGCCACGGGCTGGCGAGCCCCTCCGGCTGCGCTGGTGACGCCTAGGAGGCCTTGACGCCCCGAGACCTCATCGAGGAGCTGGTTCAGGCCGATGCGCGTTCCCTCGGTGTGACCAACGACTCCATGACCCGAAGAGGTGGAAGTGATCGCTACTAACACAGGCATCGCTACTAGTAACAAGAAGCTACTAGGTTGAAGGCCATCGCTACTAGTAACAAGTGCATGACTACTACTTTGGATGATTTTGGGGGGACTTGCTTCATGAGGGTACTGTAGCGGCTAGCCATTGCTAGCCTTCAACCTTTGACGCATCCAGACTCTTGTGCTCGAACTTCGCAGCCTTCCAAGATCCTGGACACAGCATTTGAGTGTTTTCAAAATGGATGGTTTTGCCATTGATGGCTGATGCGCATGGAGCGTCATTCATTCAAGCATTCTACAAAATGTCAAAAATATCAAAACAATCACTTTGATCATACCTTGCATGTCGACATTTGCACCCCAGCTCTGACCAAGAGTTGAATACAGTGGGCATATAAGAGATATATACTGATACCGTTTAATCATCTCCATCTGAAACTGTTCCACACGAAGTAGTTTCTGGAGTTTGCTTTGCAGATTCCAATCAAGAGGTGGAACACATTTGAGGGCTAGAAACAGATAAATGTGTGACGCCAAAACCTGGTAACCCACCAAAGAAACTGTGTGGATAAGTGCAACTGCCAGGTTGCTGCCATGATGTTTTCTTAAAACTATATATATATATTAAAATATCAAACACACACACACATATATATATATATATGTTATATCTATCATATATACTAATAATATAATATATATATATATAAATCTATAAACATACAAAGTATTGCATTAGTAATTACTTTGGCCCTTTGGCACAAGGCTCATCCTGATGAATGTGATTGAAATGAACACATGGGGGAAACACTGCAGGATCAGGTGAAACTGGATTTGCGAGACAAGCAGCAGCTGGTGGAACAACTTGTGACTTGGCTCCGGCTGTGACGGCTCTATGTCAATTGTTCGTGAAGGGGTGAAGGGGGGCGAACGGGGAGGGGAAAAGAGTCCTAGGGGGCCGTTGACACCATGTGCTGTGCGTAAGAAGTATGTACCGGTGGTATCACTTGATCAGGCCGGATTTCTTCAGTGGAACAAGAGAAAAAACTGCCATCACTGGGTCACTGGGCTTGGAGTTAGACCCAACAAACCCACATGATGCCCTGTGCATGCCTGCATCGCATAAGGCTTATGCATCGTGAAAGTCTTGTATACACTGGTTTCTGCACAAGTTGCTTTGCATCTAGTCTTCCCTTCCCAGGTGAAATGAATTAAACATCGTGTTTCAACACGATACAGTTGTGTTGTGCTTCTCTCCACTGGTATCCTGTTCGGTCACTCCTTTTTCAGTCCTTCCACACTGGTGCATAGCGCTGTGTACCCGACTGACCGGCTCTTTTTTGACCTACTCTTCCTTGGGTCTCAGGTGGAGTGCCTCATTGACCAAGTGAAACGTTACGAGAAGGCGTGACCGGGTCGCAACGGAAGAGGCGCCGGCGCCAGGTGGCCGTTGACCCGAAAACATGCCGTGGTGGATTGGTGGATCTGACCCAGATTTCTGAGTCCGGCTCCCCCAAAGTCGTCAGAGCAACGAGCCAAGAAGGAACAGGGGGACAACCTCTCATGCCCCGCATCCCTGGTCACTGAAATGGTGGGGGCTTCTCCCTCCGACCAAGGACCCTGTTCTTCTGCAAGGGGAAGCAACACACAGCACCGCAGCGGACCTCCCGTTAATATAGATAAATTTGGATTATTTTTGGTAAGTTGACATAATTTTGTTCTACAACTTTCGACCTTTTCTCTCCTCGGGCTCCAAAGAGAACTCAAGGGAAAAGACTTGGGGCTGAATCCCCTTCACCACTGAAACCATCCTTACAAAGGCCGCGCTTCATCACCACAGGAGCTGGGAGCAGAGCAACGAGCCAAGAGAGCCTTGAAGATGTCTCTGGAGGTGCCAGGGGTTGGCGGACAGTTGTCACATTTGTGCATCTTTTGGCCAAATGCGTGTGGACAATGTCGTTTCTTGAAGAATGAGTTCGTTCTGAAAGAGCATCCTTGTGGCTCTTGGAGACATACATTGGGCAAGCACTCATGCCTCGTAACCTAAAAGTGGAAAGCCTACAGTAGGTTGTTGCAGCCACCCTGAGCGTTCATGAGCCCTGGCTGCAGTGACTCCACCGGTGGCTGCATGTCTCGTCTCGGGAACCCTTCACGTCCTTGCAGGGTCTGAATGCTGTCTCTGACCGTGCGGGTGGCAAACCTGGTCCAGTGCCGGGTTCTGCTAGGTGGAACAAAGAAAAGCCATGATGTACCACCAGCGTCTCACACAGATGGTGGTGCCCCCAGCTGATCAAGTGCAGGGGAGACGCCGAACATGGCAGGAGGCTGCTGGATTTCGGTGGTGCATGATTTTGTCATTAGTATTTGGCCCTGGGAGATGGGAGCTACCGGTGCTGACGCGATGCTGCATCCCAAGGCTCATCAGATGAGTAACCTGGATAAACTGGAGGCAGGTCACGAACGAGGGGATGTGGTTGGAGAAGATTGGAACATCCACTATGTGCATATTATGCATACATATTATAAGGCTACAAGACCATGCGGCATCCAAATGGTTCCCTCCCACCAGCGGCGAAACGGGGTAGGAGGTCGGTCCCTCATGGCATCTCCCACAGTCCCATTGGGACCGCCATGGAGGCCGATAGCTGCTCCTGACCCCTCCAGGGGTCCCTTGTTGCTCGGGGATGGTGAACTGTCCAGTGGATTTTCCAGAGAATTTTGAGAGCCAATCCAGTGCACACCGGTCCAGCCAATAAAAGCCCGACCTAGAGAAGGGTGGATCAGATGGACACACCCAGATGGGGGTGTAGAGGAGAACGGATGCTCCTTAGGCGGTTTTAGCTTACTTTTTCCTTTCACCACGGGGTTGTTTAGCTCGAGGGCGACCAGGGCTTTTTGCCATATGGAATGGTTGAAGGAAGAGCTGTTAGGGGCTGTTGGCCAGATTTTTTTGGTTGCCAACCGTTATGCACGAGAGCCTTTTTAACTCTAGAATATGCACGAGAGCCTTTTTAACTCTAGAAAGAGTGAGGAGACATTTGTGTGAGCAAGCATGACTCAAGGCGGACTGGCCATGTTTTTGTGACTTTCCTTTTGGGGCCAAGTCTGGGCCACCTGTTTTCCTTGTGGCATGACCTGACCCAGCATGTGGGAGACACACCTCTTGATGGAGTGATCCGAAGTGATCCATCTGTAGGTGGAGGCAGAGCCGGAGGCACATCCGGTCATGGGAGTCATGGGACACTGAGACCGATCTCCAGGAAACATCTTCTTAAGGTTCTCCATGATCAAAGTTCAAAGATGGTTCAAAGAACTGAAGAACTGGGGCGGAGTAAAGACTGGCTTCAAGATGCTTTGGAGAGCGTTTCTTCGACATGGAAGAGGAACTCATGGGGGGCTCTGGTCAGGTACTGCTTGACAAAATTGGGAGACACAGAGCAATTGATGGACTCTGGGGTCTTAAGATCCGCGGCCAGCCCACTCGATGCAGAAGTTTTGGGATCAAAACCAGGCACTGAGCTGTATCGAATGCCTGAGCGTGCCAGGCCACCGTCGCCACCGTCGCCACCGTTTAGCGCGTCTGGCCCCGAGGCTGCTTGGCCTGCGCGAGCCGCACGCAAGCGCTCCGCGGGGACAGGGAAAGCGCTCCGAAGGGGATCCGCGGGGACAGGGATGGACCTCAGAAATGAAGACGAACATGTTGTTGGATGGATCACAGGTTTCCTGAGGTTTCCGATGGTTTCCGAATTCCTAGGTCCTTATTCAGAATTACCGTATTCTGCAGAGAACATGAGGAATTGTGGTCCGACAGGGAGGTCTTCACCACATTGCCCCAGTTGGGAAGTCACAAACACACACACATACAGCATACGCACGCACACATACAGCACACACACTGCCACTGCCGAACGGAATGGACACCCCCTGGAGCTTTGCAGAAGAACATGTTGTCTTCGCGATTAGAGTCGGAGTGTAGACTAGTGACTAGTTGATTTCGGGGCCCAGAAAAGGCTCAGGCTCACGTTGTTTTAAACTATGTAAACCGCCCTGAAGAAGGGAGGCACCACACCACAGGTTCCCATCTTTGCATGAGACTGCCTCGTGCTGTTTTTCGCGAGTGTCTCTTCTGCCAGTTCCATGTCGGAATGGTGGTGGATGTGACAGGGGCACCCCTTTTTCAACCCGGTGCGGTTGGCCGAAACCTACCGGTTTCGGGGCGCCTCTTTCGGCCCAGCCGACCTTCCGGTGGCAGGACCTCCGGCGATGGCGGGGGGCAAGCCTCGTGAATTCGGCGGACCTTCCCGGGCGAGAGCGGCGTGAGCCAGCCGCCCTCGTCACGGGGGAAGGACAAGCCGGTCTGTGTGAGTGCTACGCCACAAAGGTTGGGACAGGTTGGAATGAAGCAGAGGGCACTCCAGTGGTGGTGTTTCTTCACTTTTGAAGAGTCTTGATCCACTCCATTGTCTGAGTTTGTTGTGGGTGGCGTGCAGTCCTCGTTTGTGGGCTGTTGTGGTAGTCGGGAGTTTGAGTTCTGCTTGGGAGCAGAGATGACGGTGCTTTCATGCTTTGGGTCAACACTTCTGCAATATGGATTGATCCCAAACATGAGAGGATCTTCACGCTCTTGGTGGAAAGGACTGTACACTGTAAACTAGCTCACACATGGAGGCACCACAGGCATCACAAGAACATGCCTGAAGACCTTGGCTGCCAAGAGGATGTGTCAGACCCCATCTTTTAGCTGGCGCTGTCTGAAAACTGCTTCAGAGGTGTGCACATCAGCTTCGGACTTCCACGTGTACGGAAGATGACTCGATATGACCCGATATGACCCGGTGAACACTTTGGGTTCTAGAAGTAAACTTTTGCGAGCATTTGGATCCCTTTGGTTTCCCACCTCTTCCAAAGTTAGCAAGAAGTTCTTTGGACAGGATCACCCAAGTTCCTAGAATAACTTGGCACAGCCTGGCACAGCACCCAAAGTCGTAGGGTGTCAAAGCACAATGTTCCTCCTTATGCCCACTGCCCTTCAATCAGAGGAGCCCCCGGCTCAAAACAGAAAAGATACAAAGAGGACATCCTCACTTTCCAACCAACGGAGCAGAGTCATCACCTTCTACACGGATTGACATCCTCTTTTCATATCTCCGCTCTGATTGTGCGAAGACATCGGGGTAGACCTGCAGGCTCCGGACGACGACCATCAACGTGACAACGTGACGGCTCAAGGAGTGTCCCAGCTCGGAGGACGGGCGCCCGCCTCGCGAGGTGGGAAGACCAAGAGAAAAGACGGTCAAAGATTGGATTGCTTTTGGGGCTTTTTGGAGTGCTTGGGCCGCTTGGGGCTTTTTGAGGAGGCAAAAGGACTCTTCCAGTGAGTTCAATATCTCGTTCTTTGGTCCCCGCTCCACGTGACTCGTGTTGATTGCAAAGCGTGTCTTGAAGAATTGCTGAAGAAGCGGTCTTCGGGGCGTTTTCACTTCGAAGAAGCGGCACAAAAAGTCACGGATGATGCATTCCTTTGCCTATTCAGTGGAAGAAGTTCGGACATGCCCCATGTTATTTCTCCTCTTTTGCCCGGAAAGAGCAAGTCTTTTCACGAAAGGTAGCTTTAGCTACCTGAGCCTCCCTCCTCGTCATTGGGTGTGATTGGTTTCGTATTGAGCTTCTCATTTGCTGCTGTTGGTTTGTTGCTCTTGCTCTTGCTCTTGCTCCTGCTCCTGCTGCTGCTGCTGCTGCGGCGAATCCGACGGATCTCTCTCTCTCTCTGTCTGCCTGCCTGCCTGCCTGTCTGGCTGGCTGGCTGGCTGGCTGTCTGTTTGTCTGTCTGTCTGTCTGTCTAGGGCTCAAAGCTTGCCTATAGAAGGCTTATAGGAATACTTCGAGCCCCAAGTGTCTAAAAGACACGACACGTCATCCGCGATCCCCCACTCGCCATAGAGCTGCTAGACTACGGAGAAGCCGTGCAAGAGCTTTGATAGCTCGGAACAGACATCGGAGGCTCGTGAGGGCCGGTCTACTGCTTCGGATCTGGCGAGGTGCTCGCTTTCTAGAATCTCATCACTCCAAGCCGAGGTACAACCTTCTCTGTCTTCGTGGAGTGAGAATGGGATGGAACAAGAACAAAGGCTGGCAGAAGCAGTCCCAGGAATGGGATCAGAGTTGGGGGAGAGATCGCAAGAAGAAAGAAGAGAAAGAAGACAAAGGAGGAGTCGTGTTGTACGACTACGACGGAAAGAAGATCGATCTATCAGATGGTGGTTCTGGATTGCGATCTACTTCATCGTCCTCCAAGGAAGTGCAGCTGCAGACCGAGAATCGCAAGCTCAAAGAGGCCTTTCGGAAGTTGATGGATCCCAAGTCCGCAGAGAAGGATGTCCCAGAAGAGGTGCAGAAGATCTTGGAGACAAAAGAGCTCAAAGAGAAGCAACGTCTCCTCAACGAAGAGCGCAAAGCTCTCAACAAGGTGGAAAAGCTGAAGGATGCTATGCGCAAAAAGGAGGAGAAGTACACCTCGTGGAAGGAAGGGATCACAGTTGGCTTGCAAAAGGCCGCAGAGAAGCATGGCAATGTAATGGCCGAGCTCAATACGGCTTTGAGAGATGCGGAGAAAGGCGAAGATGGGCAGCCAGAGATTCTCAGCGACGACGATGCCCAAGAGGCAGACACCCAGGCAGATCTAAGGTCATTGAAGCAGCAAGTGAATGGCTTTATGGCCTATGCGCAGATGATGGACCAGAGGCATCAGGAGCTTACCAGCCAAATGTCTGCTATGATACAGATGATGCAAGGTGGATTTTCTCTCCCAGTGAGCTCACCACAGCATCCGCTACGAAGGGGCAACAAGAGAGGAGCAGAGACCAGTCCAGAGGGATCAGAGCGTGCCAGATCGAGATCTCCTATGAGGACAGTCGGCAAGGTTGGGGAGTTGGAGCTTGGCGATTCCACAGAGGCCCAGTTCTTGCATCAACAGCTTGCTCAGCTCGACGATGGTGCTCAGAGCCGGGTTCTGAATCAGATCCAAGGGATGACCAAAGGTCCAGGTATGGTCTCGGAGCTCACCAAGTTGATCTCCAAGGAGTTGGAGGTTGGCATTGTGGAGTTGCCCACGGTGAAAGGTCCGGCTGTGCTTTCAGAGCTATGCCGGGTCAGTCCTTCCAGGGCGCTGCAGCCCTTTCAACGGGTTCGTTCATCCAAGGTCAGGGACGAACCTTATTCGCCAGCCAAGGAAATCCAGAAGAAGCCGGGGGAGGATGTTCTTTCAGGCTTCGATTGAGGTGTCAAGTGAGTGCGGGTTCGAGCTTCGGGCGCGCCAATTTTGAAGGCAGCAGCGTGGCTGAGGGAGCCCAAGATATGAGTTTCGGTTTCTCTGATCCCCATAGCAACTTCATTTGTCGACAAGTTGAACAGGGAGAGGAGCAGTGCTTTTTGTCATTTACTGCTTTGAGTGATTGGTGGGGGCTGGTCACTAGATGCAGTGGACTTTCTTTCCTGTGGGTGCAGAATGATTGGGACCCAATCGGTAAGCGATCTTGCTGGCCTTCAGGGTTTGTTGTTGTTGAAGTGGTCCGACAGGCCATGATCTTTTTCTGGGCTTGCAGTGTTTGTGAGCTTTGCAAGGCCTGTATCTGGCTCCTTCGGCATTATGTTTTCCATAGGAGAAGCATTTTTGTACTTCCGCCTATCGCCTTTTGCCTTTATGCCGCTGGGTTATCCTTTTGCTGTGGGGTGGTGCCGCTCCTGTGGCTGGAGAGTATTCCTGAGGTTGATGACAATGCTTGGGGCATGGATTTCATGATGTGGTGCTGGCGGATTGCGCTCTTTTCCTTTTGCGCGACCTTGACTTGCTTGATATTACGAAGGCGTCTTGAAGAGCAATACCCCGAACCCATTCAAGCAAGAAGATGTGGGAGTCGCAGGACCAGATCAGTTCGTTGCAGATCTGTTCGAATACGATGGATTGGGGTTTTCCTCCTTTGCAACGTGATTCATGCCCATGCAATTCATAGTATTGAGGGTTTTCAGTATTATGATGAGCCTGGAAATCAAGAACTGGATGAAGCCTACCAGAGCACTATTCGTTCAGTTGATGAGGACCCCGCCTCTTGGCCTTGTGGGCAGGGTTTCTCGGAATGCCTTTTTGATGATGGCACCGAAGGCTTTGCGGAGGTTTCCTTGACCCCCGCTGCTCCGGCATTAGGCCGTCGAGCCCATTTTTGTCATGCAGGTTTTGTCCCACATTTTGTCGGTGATTGGTTTGCCGCAGACGGTCACCCTTTTGGTGGGGACGATTTTGGTGAAGTAGAAAGTGGGTTCTGTCCTACTTTTAATAGTGATGCTGCATCGTTAATGCAGACCAGTTCTACTGCCAGTGCATTTGATCCTTTGCTGTTGCATGCCTGGGGTGTCTCCGCTGACTTGCCAATTAGGGTTCTAGTTTGGCTGCACACCTGGGATCGCAGAGGGCAATGGGCGTTTGTTGGTAGGTTCATAGAGGTTTGGCCTCGAGTTGCAGTTCGGCATCAGGTTGTTCAAGGCTTGCGAGACTTCCAGGTTCGTCCTACTCTGAAGGTCTTCAGAGTGAGATGTACATCGAGACAACAGCCTGGTGGAGTTCCGAACTTTCTTGCCCTGACAGTTGATGCCGAGGAGTGGGTTGGCCTGCTGGTCAAGGCTGAAACGCCTTGGCGAACACAGCTTGGCACGTACTTGCTCAGAGCTGCTACGTTTCCTCTGGTTTCTGCGATATTTACGCAGATGCTTCCGATGAACCAATGTATCTGGATGACACAATGCTGGATTGAAGCAGAGGGACGCAGCTTCCAGTGGTTCAGTACAATTCCTTTGTACGAGGGAATGTTTCTGCAATTGCATGAGATACTTGAGCAGGAAAGTGAGGCCTCGACGGTCTGCGATAGTGGATCTGATGAATACAGCAGTCATGAAAGCAATTCCAATGTTACTGAGAGTGACAATGGAGTTCTGCTGCAAGTGGGATGGACTGAGTCTGTTACGAGAGGGAACACTGCAACTTGCATGGGAGCTCAAAGAGAGGCCTTCAGTCGATCGCAAGATGGCCTCTATGTAGCTCTCTTAGATGAGCATGATGGAGATACAGCTGGCTTGATGCAGCTGTTTAGTGAACAAGAACTGCAGGTTGTGGATGGTCTTGATCTTGAGCCTCCGGAACATGAAGTTTTGCAGATTGACCCTGGCGATATCCAGGCATCATCCGATGTTTTGCGATCTTATGTGTACGCTAACTTTCCGGTAGCTCAGTTGCCGGTAGTTTCGGTTTATACCTGGGTCGTGACCATGGGGAGGCCGGTTGAGTCTGCTGCTAGGGTTTGCATACTTCAACAGAGGGGCTCTTTCACAAGAGTCTTCTCTCGTGAG